ATTTTAAGCTTTAATTGTTTGTTTTTAAGTCTCTAAATGGATCGGCTCCCTCTCTCTCTGAACATCTCCTAACAGAACTGTCAGGTCTTGTTGTTGCAGACTCACACAGAGCAGCCGGCCGGTGGCTACATCGTAACTTTGGAACTCTGCTTTTCAAATTACGCTCTCCCCAACACTGAACCTGACGACACATCTTTGTTCCCTTATTGTGACTCTTTTCTTTGTTTTTGTGACCCGTCTCCTGTTTTTCTGTTGGGTTTTTTCCCAGTTTGTGCAGCACTTATCAACCTGTTGTTTAGAAACATCCTTATAAATACACTGACGTGAATTGACAGGACGCCTGCTGTAAACTTGTCGTGTATGTTTTGTAGTATCAGCAGCAGTTGTCTGGTAAGGTGTAAATATTCACTGCAGTCCATGTAGTGAAGTCCCAGGTGAACAGAACCTGGAGCTAGGAGGAAGCCGTGTGCTGACGTGTGCTGACGTGTGCTGACGTGTGCTGCTGCTCACATCTTTAGCCTTTTGTTGCATCTCTAGGAACCAGTTTTATCTTTAAAGCAGAGCTCCGGCCTTTGTACGTGTTTCAAACAAAGTGTTAAATTAATTAAATGCTATTTGCTTGACAAACCTCAGACTTTTCACCATGAGTTGGAAATGTTTTCAGATTCTCTGGAAACTTCAAATGAAGTGAAGCACGAGCTCCTCACCAGTGGAATGACTTTCTCCTCTTCTCTGCATCGCTGCTTTAACCTTTCATGGCAGGTCTGAGGAGACGTCTGCAGGTAAACTGGAGCCGGGGAAAAAGCCAAATATGACATGTGTCATTATTATTACTACATGAACTCATTTCATTACATAGGAATGCCATTTGTATAAACACACGAACTCAAAGACAGAGTCAGTTCTCATCATGCACATTCAGACATGCACAGGATTCGTTCTTTGTTTCCTGATGCTGAGCTGCAGCAGGTTTGTTTGCTTGTGTTGTACTCACCAATGAGATCAACAGGAATGCAAACGTTAGCTGTAATCCAGTCAAACCACTCGCTGAGAACAGCGTAGTCCACCTCTGGCATTTTCCCACTGGAAGAAAAACATGAAATAATACTGGAATTCTGCTCTACTTAGCGCTCAAAGCACTTTACAAACATGTCTCTATCTGAACTAACGAGCTTGGAAAGAAAACCGACCGCACTTCTTAAAATGTGTTGAAGACGTTTCAGCTCTCACCCGAGAAGCATCTTCAGTTCTAAGGTCTCACAGTGATTTCACCCAAAACCTCCACTGATCATGACCCACACCCCATGTCACACGCTGGCACATGATCAACAGCGGGTCAACAACACCAACTACAGCTTAAATACACGGGACTCTCTACAGATTGGAGGTTCAACCATCGACTGTCAAACATCAAACCATCAACGTTCTGATTAGTCGGTGACCGTCTCTACCTCCTGAACCAGCCCAGCTCTCTAAGCTCTCTAAATTCCCATAAATGTCAGAAATGCTCAGTCACAGGTTGGATGATTCATTTGACACAGTTACATATTTTAAATGAAATGTTACATTTTAAGTAACTGTCTTCTCTGTTTACATCGCTGTGGCTGTGAGGCCATTACTGCAAATCAACATCTGGACTATTTCATGGTAAGACTTGGCTACAATGATGCAAGACTGAACACGACCTTTATTCATCACTGAGACATGAGAACAGATGCTGAGCCTGACTGAAAGAACAACCCCTCCTCTCTGTCTGTACATAAACATGCACGGGTTGCACACTCTCCGACTTCAGCGCTGCAGGGCTGTGTTGTGCGGCAGACTGCATCGCTATAGTTCAGTTGAAACTGTGTGGCTGATCCATGGATCAGATTACTGTACCTTCTGAAGAGATTCTCCACAAAGATGTACTTGGCACTGAAGAGAGATCTCTCCATCATCCTAACAGGAGCTGCCTGAAACCAACAAGAAACAGCACGTGTGCAGCATGTCAGTGTGCAGCATGTCTGTGTGCAGCATGTCAGTGTGCAGCATGTC